TGTGCCCCTTTAAGGGGTCCGGGGCTGGGAGGGGGGCAGTAGAGTTTCCCTGGTGTTGGCCAGAGTGGCCACCAGGGAAAGCTGGGGAGGGCTAGCCTCCCACTAGTTCGAACTAGGCTTAATCCTCGTGGAATGAGGTTTACCTAGTTCGAACTGAGCGCTCCGTTAGTTCGAATTAAGTTCGAACTAACGGAGCGCTAGTGTAGCGCCTATGAAAGTTAGTTCGAACTAACAGATGTTAGTTTGAACTAACTTTGTAGTGTAGACACACCCTGACGGGTTTGTCACAGGATGGAAGAGAGGCAGCGGTGACTGAGGGAGGGGCACTTGAGCCTAGGTAGGAAAAGCTGAGGTGACTCTGAAGGGGACATCACAGTCCAGGCGGGAAAGGCTGAGGTAACTGAGCAGAGGATTGCAGCCTGGGCAAGAAAGAATGAGGTGACTTAATGGGAGATCTCAGGCTGGGTGTGAAAAGCTGAGGTGAATTGAGTGGGGAGCACAGCCTTGGTGGGAAAGGCCGAGGAGATTGCAAAGGTGAGGGAGGGGCAGAGCCTGGCAGGAAAGGCTGAGGTGACTCTGGCAGGGGGCGGTATCACAGGCTGGGCGGAACAGGCTGAGGTGACTTGATAGGGACACACCCTGGGTGGGAAAGGCGGAGGTGATTGCCAAGGTGGGGGACGGGCACAGCCTGGCAGGAAAGGCTGAGGAGAGGAGATTCCTACTCAGGCAGTACAGCCTGTGGTGACTGATTTGGGAGGGTCACAGTCTGGGTGGGAAAAGCTGAGATGACTCTGAGGGTAAGGCTGAGGTGACTGTGGGGGTGGGGGCGCAGACTAGGGGGTTGTAACCTGGGTGGGAAAAGCTTGAGGTGACTCTGAAGGGACATCACAGTCCAAGAGGGAAAGGCAGAGATAACCGTGAGAAAAGGGTTGCAGTCTGGGCAAGAAAGAATGAGATGACTCTGAAGGGGGGCATTCCAGCCTGGCTGGGAAAGGTTGATGTGATTTTAATGGGGGGTGGTGTCAGACTGGGTGCAAAAGGAGGGGTGACTTAAGATGGAGCACAGCCTGGGAGGGAAAGGCTGAGGTGACTGGGATGGGGGGAGAGGGGCACAGTCTGGCAGCAAAGCCTGAAGTGACTCTGATGGAGGGCGGTGTCACAGGTTGGGCACAAAAGGCAGAGGTGAATTGAGTGAGGAGACCAGCGTGAGTGGAAAAGTTCCGGGAAGGGCACCATCTGGGTAGGAAAGGCTGAGGTGACTGAAGAGAGAGGGGGTTCCTACTCAGGCAGCAAAGCCTGTGGTGATGGATTTGGGAGGGTCACAGTCTGGGCGGGAAAGGCTGAGGTGACTTGATGGGGGAGCACAGTTTGAGTGGGAAAGGCTGAGGTGATTGTGAAGGTGGGGGAGGGGCACAGCCTGGCAGGAAAGGCTGAGGTGACTCTGGCAGGGGGCGGTATCACAGGCTGGGCGGAACAGGCTGAGGTGACTTGATAGGGACACACCCTGGGTGGGAAAGGCAGAAAGGCGGAGGTGATTGCCAAGGTGGGGGACGGGCACAGCCTGGCAGGAAAGGCTGAGGAGAGGAGATTCCTACTCAGGCAGTACAGCCTGTGGTGACTGATTTGGGAGGGTCACAGTCTGGGTGGGAAAAGCTGAGATGACTCTGAGGGTAAGGCTGAGGTGACTGTGGGGGTGGGGGCGCAGACTAGGGGGTTGTAACCTGGGTGGGAAAAGCTTGAGGTGACTCTGAAGGGACATCACAGTCCAAGAGGGAAAGGCAGAGATAACCGTGAGAAAAGGGTTGCAGTCTGGGCAAGAAAGAATGAGATGACTCTGAAGGGGGGCATTCCAGCCTGGCTGGGAAAGGTTGATGTGATTTTAATGGGGGGTGGTGTCAGACTGGGTGCAAAAGGAGGGGTGACTTAAGATGGAGCACAGCCTGGGAGGGAAAGGCTGAGGTGACTGGGATGGGGGGAGAGGGGCACAGTCTGGCAGCAAAGCCTGAAGTGACTCTGATGGAGGGCGGTGTCACAGGTTGGGCACAAAAGGCAGAGGTGAATTGAGTGAGGAGACCAGCGTGAGTGGAAAAGTTCCGGGAAGGGCACCATCTGGGTAGGAAAGGCTGAGGTGACTGAAGAGAGAGGGGGTTCCTACTCAGGCAGCAAAGCCTGTGGTGATGGATTTGGGAGGGTCACAGTCTGGGCGGGAAAGGCTGAGGTGACTTGATGGGGGAGCACAGTTTGAGTGGGAAAGGCTGAGGTGATTGTGAAGGTGGGGGAGGGGCACAGCCTGGCAGGAAAGGCTGAGGTGACTCTGACAGGGGGCAGTGTCACAGGTTGGGTGGGAAAGGCTGAAGTTACTTGATAGGGGCACACCCTGGGAGGGAAAGGCTGAGGTAATTAAGAAGGTGGGGGAAGAGCACAGCCTGGCAGGAAAGGCTGCGGAGACTGAGAAGAGAGAGTGGGTTCCTACTCAGGAGGCACAGCCTGTGGTGATTGATTTGGGAGGGTCACAGTCTGGATGGGAAAGGCTGACATAACTCTGAGGGGTCTATGTCACAGGCTGGAAGAGAGCGGCTGAGCTGACATGGGGAGGCGGATTGTTGTAGCCTGGGTGGTAAAAGCTAAGGTGATTCTGAAGGGACATCACAGTCCAGGAGGCAAAGGCTGAGGTAACTGTGAGCAAAGAGTTTCAGCCTGGGCAAGAAAGAATGAGGTGACTTAATGGGAGATCTCAGGCTGGGTGTGAAAAGCTGAGGTGAATTGAGTGGGGAGCACAGCCTTGGTGGGAAAGGCCGAGGAGATTGCAAAGGTGAGGGAGGGGCAGAGCCTGGCAGGAAAGGCTGAGGTGACTCTGGCAGGGGGCGGTATCACAGGCTGGGCGGAACAGGCTGAGGTGACTTGATAGGGACACACCCTGGGTGGGAAAGGCAGAAAGGCGGAGGTGATTGCCAAGGTGGGGGACGGGCACAGCCTGGCAGGAAAGGCTGAGGAGAGGAGATTCCTACTCAGGCAGTACAGCCTGTGGTGACTGATTTGGGAGGGTCACAGTCTGGGTGGGAAAAGCTGAGATGACTCTGAGGGTAAGGCTGAGGTGACTGTGGGGGTGGGGGCGCAGACTAGGGGGTTGTAACCTGGGTGGGAAAAGCTTGAGGTGACTCTGAAGGGACATCACAGTCCAAGAGGGAAAGGCAGAGATAACCGTGAGAAAAGGGTTGCAGTCTGGGCAAGAAAGAATGAGATGACTCTGAAGGGGGGCATTCCAGCCTGGCTGGGAAAGGTTGATGTGATTTTAATGGGGGGTGGTGTCAGACTGGGTGCAAAAGGAGGGGTGACTTAAGATGGAGCACAGCCTGGGAGGGAAAGGCTGAGGTGACTGGGATGGGGGGAGAGGGGCACAGTCTGGCAGCAAAGCCTGAAGTGACTCTGATGGAGGGCGGTGTCACAGGTTGGGCACAAAAGGCAGAGGTGAATTGAGTGAGGAGACCAGCGTGAGTGGAAAAGTTCCGGGAAGGGCACCATCTGGGTAGGAAAGGCTGAGGTGACTGAAGAGAGAGGGGGTTCCTACTCAGGCAGCAAAGCCTGTGGTGATGGATTTGGGAGGGTCACAGTCTGGGCGGGAAAGGCTGAGGTGACTTGATGGGGGAGCACAGTTTGAGTGGGAAAGGCTGAGGTGATTGTGAAGGTGGGGGAGGGGCACAGCCTGGCAGGAAAGGCTGAGGTGACTGTGAAGAGAGAGGATGTTCCTAATCAGGTGGCAAAGCCTGTGGTGATTGATTTGGGAGGGGGACAGGCTGAGATGGCTCTGAGGGGTCTATGGCACACGCTGGAAGAGAGAGGCTGAGGTGACATGGGGGAGGAGTTGTAGTCTGGGTGGTACAAGCTATGGTGACTCTATCCTGGGAGGCGGGGGAGAAGGCTGAAGTAACTGTGAGCAAAGGGTTGCAGCCTGGGGAAGAAAGAATGAGGTGACTCTGAAGGGGGGATCACAGCCTGGATGGGAAAGGCTGATGTGATTCTGATGGGGGCACTGGGTGCAAAAGGCAGAGGTGACTTGGAGTGGAGGGAATGGCTGATGAGGGAAAAGCTGAGGTGACTTGGAAGTGTGGGAGGGGCACAGCCTGGGCAGGAAAGGCTGGGGTCACTGACAGCATGGCACAGTGAGAGCAGGAAAGGCTGAGGTGATTGTGAAGGTGGGGGAGGAGCACAGGCTTGGTGGGAAAGGGTGAAGTGACAGTAGGACATACTGCATCCTGGGCAGGAGAAACTGAGAGAACTCAGAAGGGGTGGTCACAGGAAGGGTGGGAAAGGCTGAGGTGACTCTGAGGGGTCAATGTCATAGCCTGGAAGAGAGAGGCTGAGATAACTGAGGAGCTTGTTGCAGACTGGATCAGAAAACCTGAGGTCGCTCGTAAGGAGGTGGTGCTACTGTCTAGCTGGGAAATACAAAGTGGGCTAAAGGATGAGGTAATACCTGGCAGAAAGGCTGAGGTGACTGATTTGGGAGAGTCACAGCCTGGGCAGGAAAGAATGAGGTGACTTTGAAGGGGTATCGCAGTCTGGGCAGGAAAGATGGAGGTGACAGAAAGTGTAGGAGTCCAGCCTTGGCAGGAAAGGCTGACGTGATTCTGATGGGGGGCTGTGTCACTGGCTATCCAGGAAAGGCTGAGGTGATTATGAAGGAGAAAAGGATCACCGACTGAGCTGTAAAAGCTATGGTGACGGTGGGCAGGATGGGAAAGGCTGGGGTGATTCTGATAGGGGATAGTCTCAGGATCCGTGTGAAGAAGGTCTGATACATATCTCACCTAGTAGGGCTTGGGAGGAGGGGAAAATCCTTACCTGAGGGCTATGCAGATGTTGTAAGGACATGGGACTAACACACAACTCTATACTTCCACTCTCTCTGAGTCAGCTTCAAGCACAAGAGGGCAAGAAGAAAATGTCAAAGAAGAGGGGGAAAGAAGATGGGTCACTGAAGACAGAGGAGAAGTACTCTTGGCACAGTAATGGGGCCTCAGGTCATGTCATTATACTGCATGGGGATGTCAAGTCTTTAATATCCTGAGCAGTAAAGCAGGGGTACAAGACTGAGCCATCTTGTCCTTTTAACATTAGGCTCTGTTAATGATTACGTGAGAGTTAATGCCCTGTAATCAGAGTGCAAGTAACTTCCTCTTCTCTTTTGATGGGAATTGACCTCTTTGTTCAACTGAGCAATTTGACTGCCCTGCTTGCCCCTATGATTCCTTTGGGTTGCTGGGCGTGTCTGTTTGACATGACCCTCTAAACAGGGTACAGGTTTAGATGCTTGCCCTTTCTTTTTTGAGAGGAGGAAGATGGATCAAGTTGAAAACATATGGTTCCAATTACCCATTGCTGAGAGCTCTCTGCCTTTTCGAGGAACTCCCCCTTTTTTTTAATGGATGATGTTGAGAGCATGTGATAGAATTGGAATGGAAGTTCTTATTTATTTGTTTGTTTATTTTGAGTTTTTTCAGTTATACTGCTGCAGCAGGTTTTATTTCAACTCCACATAATTGGCAAAAGAGCTCAATGCTTATAGAAAGACTGAAACACTTTCTCCCCACAAAACAGAAAAAAAGAGCTCAGGGATCAGGATTTAAAGCCCTACAGATTAAAAGTCCACTTCCCCTATTCTAGATGCAGTTCCATTTAGAAGGTCCAGGTACGTGCCCTTTTGGCCTTTTGACATTAGGCTCCGTTAGCTGGCTGGTGGGAGCGACTGCCCTGTAATCAGGGTGTGTCTCCCCTCCCCCTTGTCTTTTGAGGGGCATCGAGCTCTTTGTTAGTCCGAGCAATGTGACCGCCCTGCAAGTAGGGTCTGCGTCTCGTCCCATTTGCTATTCGGGCTTTACGCCTTGCTCTGCCCCACGGGTCAACCCTGGGATTTTGGTGAGTGTGACAAGTCTCGCTAGAAAGGGACATATTGAGCTCCTGGGTACTCTCAGGAGCTTGACCAGCCTGTAATTCAGGTATTGGTCTCTGCCCTTTGGATCTGCAGTGACCGTCCTGTAATCAGGGTACTGGTTGCATGCCTCTTGCTTCTCAACACCAGGCGATTAGATCCCTTCCAGTCTCGTGGGCAGCCTGTAAGTAGGCTTTGCGTCCCTTTTGAGGCCCTTTGGGTCTCTTGGTCTTGGGCATTTTCACAGCCCGATGCGAGGGACCGCCCCGTACTCGGGGATGGGTTCCTTGCCCTCGAGTCTTTTGGCACTAGGTCATGTGCAGCAAACAGCTCGGGATGAGCAACCTGTAGACAGGGGATGTGCCTCATCGGATATTAGGTATGGTACCCCCATGACACTGTGTCCAGAGTCCTGACCCATCCCGCAGCGCTCCCCACGTGCCGGGAATTCAGAAGCCAAGTCTCCTGCTCTCTCGGAGACCCGGCCGGCAATTGCTGGTAAGTTCTGAGGGGAAGTCTGCTGTGGCGCTTTTTGACTAAATCCACGCAGGCAGTATGCTTTGTCGCCTTGACTTTGCAAGAATCTTGTCACTTAAGCCCTTTCTCCCTTTAATCATTCAATTCCTCTTGATTGTGCGTGCTGGTTGCCTGGTATTAAGGAGATTGGTTGGGACTTTGGAGTAGGATGGAGTGGGAACTTTTCTCACCCGGTGGTGCTTAGGAGGAGGGAAAATCCAAAGAGGAGTGCCTCAGGACCTCCTAGAACTAACTTGAAGACCAATAGCCAGGCTGTCTGCAGATGTGGAAATGATCAACGTACTTACCGTTCGTTCCCATTTTGCATGTGGGATGCGGGGGGTTTGTACGGGGATCTCGCCTACCCACGTCTCTATGCTCTTTCCTCTGTCTCAGGCAGCCTCACGCGCAAGCAGAGAAGAGGGAAAAAAGGAGGCATGTGCAAGAAAGAAGAGAAAAGGTCTGTGCCCTTTTGACATTAGGCTCCGTTAGCTGGCTAGTGGGAGCGACTGCCCTGTAATCAGGGTGTGTGTCTCCTCCCCCTTGTCTTTTGAGGGGATCGAGCTCTTTGTTAGTCCGAGCAATGTGACCGCCCTGCAAGTAGGGTCTGCGTCTCGTCCCATTTGCTATTCGGGCTTTACGCCTTGCTCTGCCCCACGGGTCAACCCTGGGATTTTGGTGAGTGTGACAAGTCTCGCTAGAAAGGGACATATTGAGCTCCTGGGTACTCTCAGGAGCTTGACCAGCCTGTAATTCAGGTATTGGTCTCTGCCCTTTGGATCTGCAGTGACCGTCCTGTAATCAGGGTACTGGTTGCATGCCTCTTGCTTCTCAACACCAGGCGATTAGATCCCTTCCAGTCTCGTGGGCAGCCTGTAAGTAGGCTTTGCGTCCCTTTTGAGGCCCTTTGGGTCTCTTGGTCTTGGGCATTTTCACAGCCCGATGCGAGGGACCGCCCCGTACTCGGGGATGGGTTCCTTGCCCTCGAGTCTTTTGGCACTAGGTCATGTGCAGCAAACAGCTCGGGATGAGCAACCTGTAGACAGGGGATGTGCCTCATCGGATATTAGGTATGGTACCCCCATGACACTGTGTCCAGAGTCCTGACCCATCCCGCAGCGCTCCCCACGTGCCGGGAATTCAGAAGCCAAGTCTCCTGCTCTCTCGGAGACCCGGCCGGCAATTGCTGGTAAGTTCTGAGGGGAAGTCTGCTGTGGCGCTTTTTGACTAAATCCACGCAGGCAGTATGCTTTGTCGCCTTGACTTTGCAAGAATCTTGTCACGTAAGCCCTTTCTCCCCTTAATCATTCAATTCCTCTTGATTGTGCGTGCTGGTTGCCTGGTGTTAAGGTTATTGGTTGGGACTTTGGAGTAGGATGGAGTGGGAACTTTTCTCACCCGGTGGTGCTTAGGAGGAGGGAAAATCCAAAGAGGAGTGCCTCAGGACCTCTTAGAACTACCTTGAAGACCAATAGCCATGCTGTCTGCAGATGTGGAAATGAACAACGTACTCGCCGTTTGTTCTCATTTTGCATGTGGGATGCGGGGGGTTTGTACGGGGATCTCGCCTACCCACGTCTCTATGCTCTTTCCTCTGTCTCAGGCAGCCTCACGCGCAAGCAGAGAAGAGGGAAAAAAGGAGGCATGTGCAAGAAAGAAGAGAAAAGGTCTGTGCCCTTTTGACATTAGGCTCCGTTAGCTGGCTAGTGGGAGCGACTGCCCTGTAATCAGGGTGTGTGTCTCCTCCCCCTTGTCTTTTGAGGGGATCGAGCTCTTTGTTAGTCCGAGCAATGTGACTGCCCTCTGCCTCTTGTCCCATTTGCCCCTTAAGCTTTACGCCTTGTTCTGCCCCACTCGTCTATGGGTCAACCCTGGGATTTGGGTGTGTGTGACAAGTCACTCTAGGAATGGCCATATTGAGCTCCTGTGTCTCTGCCCTTTTGGCTTTTTGACATTAGGCTTCGTTAGCTGCCTAGTGGGAGCGACTGCCCTGTTATCTGGGTGTGAGTCTCCTCTCTGTGTCTTGTGTGAGGCACTATATAGCCCTTTTGGTGGCTGGCCTTATGAATTTGATCCTACTTTGTAACTGTTTTGCAGGTGTTATGCCTTTTCATTGTTATTTTTTGGGGAGGAAAATGTCAAATTCACCAATGTTTCCTAATATCCTGGCATAATGAGCTCTCTTTCTGTTCTGGAATTTACCAATTTTTTTTGTACATATGTTTTTGTGGTAGCATGTGATACGAATGTGCGTGAAAACTTTTAATGTTATGTTTAGTTTGATTTTTTTACGTTAATTTGCTGCAGCACCTTTTCTTTCTTCTCAGAATTGGAAAAACAGCTCAAAATATCTTAGTGTTTTTTTCCTCTTTCTCCCCACTAAAGTGTAAAGAAAGGGCTCAGATATCCTCTTTTGCTGCCTTGGAGAATGTCACCTCTCTGTAAACAGGAATCTGGTTTCTCCATCTCAGCCTTGTTTAGGTAAAACTTCTTTTATTGGGCTGACTGCAATAATTGTCCTTTAAAATGGTGGTGTTTTGAGGGGCAGTGAGTACATTGTTAAAGTGAGCAATGGGACCACCCTCGTCAACAGTATAGGTCTCAGCTTACGTGCTATTCTGTGTGACAACTCTTAAATTAGGGTGCAAGTCACAAGTCTCTGTAGAATGAGAAATAGTGAGCACTTTGGTTCTTTCAGGAGCTAGATCTCCCTGTAGTTCTAGTTATGATCTCTGCTTCTTGGCCGGGCAGCAACCGCCCTGTAATCAGAGTAGGTTGCATGCATCTTGCTTTTTAAAATCTGGAGGATTAGATCCTTTTGAATAACATGGGCATCTTGACCTCTCTGTAAGTAACCTTTTTGACTCCCTTTTGAGGCCCTTAGAGCTTTTGGCCATGTGCTTTCTTCCAAGTCTGATGTGAGTGACCACTCTGTAATCGGGGATTTGGACTTTGACTTCTATTCTATTGACACTAGGCCAAATGCAGCAAACTTCTCTGATTGAGCACACTGTAAGTGGGGAACATGCCTCATAAGATATTGTTTATGGTGCCCCCGTCATGCTGTATCCAGAGTCCAGACCCATCCCTCAGTGCTTCCAACATGCCTAGAATTCAGGAGCCAATTCTCCTGCTTTTTTCCCTGTTTACTCTGCTCTTTGTGTCCCATCATCATGCTACTTTTAAAGGTAAGTTCAGAAAGAGAGGGTTCCAGGCCACTTTTCTAATACATTAGTTTGTATGGTGTTCCTTTTTCTCTTCATTTAGGTGCACATAACTGTTATCCGTGGGCTGCATCTAATGCCTGCTGATTTAGTCCTAAGACCTTTGCTCTTCCAGGTCTTATAGTTATCAGTGGAAAATATGGAGTGTTTGGCTATGACTTGTTTGGGGGTTTTTCATAACATTCCTATGTCTTTTTGCTTTCCCTGTATCCTGCTAATATATAGTGAGGTAGTTCAAGTTACTTTTCTTAAAATACATTGATAGTAACTTATAGTTATTCCTCTTTTACTTGTGAGGAATTGTTTTCTATAGATGTAATTTGTTTTTATTTTTGTAGTGTGCGTCAGCGCACTTTATTGGTGCGGTGCAGACCTTGAAATGGAAAACAGTCTTTTATTTCTATAACAAAACCAATACTTCATCTTTTTCTACCTTTCTCTGTAAATTTATTTTTACTGCATTTAATATATAACATTTATGTTATTTATATATCCAGTTTCAAATAGCATTGTAAATCTGCTCAAACTTTCTGGCACAGTCTTTACATCCTCTGCAGAAGACTTGGACAAAATGGAAACATCCAGGCTAAAGACAAGAAACGAGAAGCTACAGGCCTGGGAAGAAGATCGTGAAGAAATGCTGAGAGCAAATATAATTGCACAATCTATTTTAGAGGTAAATCATACTATAATACAAATGAATCTAAAATAGTTGAATAATAGATTTCCTTGATTATATAACATAACTCCCCTGGCTTCAAACTAATATTTTTGTTTTCTGTTCAGGTCTATGCCAGATCCCTAAGTGCATTGGAAGAATATACTGAACAAAGGCATTAGCACCTCTCACCTGTCCAATGTTAATAGGCATATATAATAAATTGTGAAGCTCAGTTGTTTGTGGCACCACAACACCGAAGACTGGAAACCAGTTTCATTCCATAACCTTTCAACTCAGTAACTATCAGTGCCACATATTATCTTATTTTATAATCATGTATATTCTCTCACATTATCTTTTACTAATGAATCCATCAAGCATGCTTTGTGCATCGTACATTCATGTTCTGATAGAAAAGAGGGATGCACCTTTTTCATTTAATTTACCAAACTTTATCTTTCTTGAATCATTTCCCTGTCAATACTTGAAAATTTGGACTGCTGTTAAAAATACATTTCATAAAGTCTCTGCTGGCTGAAGCTGAAAAGCTATTTGAAAAGGACAGAAGAAAAGTGAGATGTAGGGTATGGCTGACCATCCTGAAGAATGTTGGAAGACCTTTTCAATTATGCACACTATTAAACTTTCACCCAGCACCAGATGAAAGTCTGTTTTTGCTACCAACAGTATCATAGCTATAATACCGTATGGAATAAAACTTAAGTTTCCACCTATCGCCAAATAGAAATTGTCAATAGAGCTGGTTTTTAGCTGCTAAATGTTGGTTTCACGTTGCTATCTAACCAAGTATTTAAGAGAGGTTTTACCAAAGGAACTACCCGATTTTATGTAAAAAAGTTACACACATCTTTAAAAAATATGTTCCTTTGGCTTATGCATGTGACTTTCTGGAGTGACTTTCTTTTTTGCTTTTATTAGCTGTTTTGTGACTAGGCACCAAAATAATTGTGAATCTGAAAGGCAGAGGCCTTAAAAATATATTCATCCCACTATAGATTCATAGTTTAAAGATTACGAATAAATCATAATTTCCCACTTGAAGTGCAAAGATATAACTTAAGGGAAGATAGATGTTTGTATTCTCCACTCACCCCAAGTCCCTCAAGAAAAAAAAACTTCAATGAATGTAAAGGTTGAAAAGATTAACATTTATTCCAGCTAATAGCTAACTTATTATTTTTAAAGCTCTGTATCTCTCTCATTTCTGAAAACAAGCAAACAAAACTAAATGGTACTTGTTCTGGAAACTGGTAGTTACTCCCCCCACTTCACAACTTTCAAACATCTACTCGACTTAAACAGTCACACCAACCAAACTGTACCACTCATTCAATTTTAACTTTGCACCTATGGTGTCAGGAATTGAGAGTAGTTTTTGTTGTTTTGTGTTTTGAGGTAGGTGGTGATTAGAGGTGTTTTAACTGGTTATTGTGCTTATTTAATGTTTGAGGATGGTGATGTGGATGTTTGTTCTAGGTATTTTTCTGTGAACTCTTAGTATTTGGGTAAACATGCAGTATTTTGTGGTGATGACAGTTTTTCAGGTATTGGTTTAATGTCAGTTGTTGAAAACATTTAGCTGTTTTTGTGTATGTACATGAATAGACTTACTTAGAGGGCAAAGCAGAAGTTGCCTGTTTGGTGCAATTTTATTGGTGTGAAAGTTAATTTAGTGTAGGTGTTTGAAAGCACTGAGGTTTGAAGTTTAAACTCAGCAGGGATGCAGGGCCTACCTGGCTACTTCAAGTCTTACGATCATTCCTAATCCAAAATCTGGAGGCCAGGCAGAACAGAGGAGGCTAGCATTTCTGCAGCTTTAGGGAATCCCTTAAACCTTACTTAGCTTTTCAAAATGGAAAACTTCTATGGCTACCACTTAAGTGTTGAACAATGACCTGCACTAAAAGATTTACACTAGTCATTTATTCTGGTCTTTATTATTAGTAAAATCATCACTTTACAATGCGTGAAATGAATTACCTAAGTTTGTGTATATCTGTCTGATGAAAGTTGGAATACACCATTGTTAAATTCATAGATGTAATTTTGATTGTCATAACACCTTACTTTGCTTTTTGTAATTGCTTATATATAAATGTATTTATTATTAGTTATGTAAATAAATTAATACAATGTTTAAATTCAAATATAGGCTCAGTTTTGTGTTAAGCAAAGTTTGTTGAAAGGAAGTTGAGTAATGTAATACTTTTATATTTAATTCAAGCTCACGTTTCTCAGAAATTAAGTTTTATGGTGTACTAAATTTCTAAACATGTGAAAGGTAGTGTGGTATAGAGGTTTAGAGCACTGACCTGAGATTTAGGAGGCCGAGTTTCTTTTCCTGACTCTGCTACTGGTTCATTGGCTGTCCTTGGGCAAGTCACTTCACCTCCCTTTGCCAGTATCTTCATCCATTTAAAAGAAAAGTGGGAGGAAACATAATTGTACTGACCTCATTTGTAAAGTGTAAAGCACTAACCAGAATTTTTACTAAAAATGAGATTGCGTGGGGGCAGGTGAGAATTAGAGATTAACTTTGGCAAGAGTACATGAAGATACAATTCATGATGTAGGTACTAATTTTCAAAATGCTATGAAGAAAACTGTCTTATGAATAATGAATTGAAAGAGCCCATATCATTTTGAATTTAATTTCTTTCTAGTATGCCAGAAGCTGCTTTTCTGCTGAAACATCCAGGGGGATGTGCTTTATATTTATTACCCTTGCCTTATGATTTATCACTGAAAAAGGGGAAACTTGGAAAGCAAATAATATTAGGTGCAGAATTAAAAAGCAGGTGAACAAAGCCTAAGCCCTGAAAGAGTAGTCAATAGTCAGATCATGGGTCAAATACAGACTGCAGACCATTTTTCAACAGACCCCAGAATCCTGTCTATTTTCTTTCTGTCTTTCTTTCTTTCTCATCTTGATCTTGACTATAGTTTGACCAAGGAATTTGACAAAACATAATTGACTATTCCTACTTCTAAAGTGTGCAGCAGCTGCATTTACACTAAAGGGACTCCACGACTTTAATAGATGCAGTACATATCTTTCCTCTGTTTTTTTAGGTACAGGCAGTCCCTGGGTTACGTACAAGATAGGGACTGTAGGTTTGTTCTTAAGTTGAATCTGTATGTAAGTCGGAACTGGCGTCCAGATTCAGCCACTGCTGAAACTGACCAGTGGCTGACTACAGGAAGCCTGAGGCAGAGTTGCTCTGCCCCAGGCTTCCTGGAATCAGCCTCTGATCAGTTTCAACAGGCTGAATCTGGAC